ACTGCATGCCGACTAAGTGATTGTATTTACACATTAATAGCACTTCACAACTTCCAGTAGTAGCAACTGGGGGGGCGGGAGGGGACGACAATGACAACACACACAAAAAATCAAAAAACAAAACAACCACCAAACAAACTCCAAATCAAAACACCTCTTTTCAGGAAAGCTTGGGTTTACCTTCAAGTTGAGATCCTAGCATTTCTAGCACCTGCCTGGTGCTCCTCTGCTTATCATTTCTGCTCATGGTCAGATGTGTTGCTGTGGTCATCCCTTTTGACAGCTTTACACATTAGCTTCCAAGGCACAAGTCTTTGCCGTGTAAAATGGTGAAGCAGAGGAACAGAGCACAAGTAAAAATTCCAGCGTTGGGTAAAATTACACTCAGGTTCAGGCAGTAGCCTCACACAAACGAGCACATAAAGCTTGCAAACAAAGCTATACCAATTTCTTCATCTTTTCTCGAAGTTGGACAAAACTACCTGTGACTATTGAATCACTCAGGTCCTCATTTGTGTGCTCTCAGGCTATCCGTGCCCAGAGAAGCAGAAGACTAATGAGACTGGTGACTACCGAGATGGTGACAGTCCTCTTCACACTTCAGTAAGATTTTCTCATGTAGTATCTTGTGATGAAAAGACACTTGTGACCTTTTCTATTATGAAGAAGAAATTTCTCAGTTACTATAGCCCTAAGAATTTGCCAATATCCACATCCCAGGCTTCGGTAATTGCCCTTTACTTATCTCATGACATCCTGATTGAGGTATCATCTTTCAGAATAGCTGCAAACAAACATTTTGAAGGTTTACAGAAAGGAGGCAGCGGCATGAACTGGCACCTCCTGGCAGTTGTTCAGGCCGATGTAGTCACAGCCAGGATATGATTATTCTGCTCCGAATATATGCATTCAGCCCTCGGCCACAGTAGCCGGGATTTCTTCTGGGGCAATACCTAATGCCGGATTTCCTCCACTTGCAATCCGAGCAAAGGGAGGACAGGCAGCACCGCCCTCTCAATTGCCCGTCTCCTCTCTAGGTTAATAATCTCCTCTCAGTGCTGTGTGACACAGCTAGTCCCGCAGCCTAAGTGCTTTTTATTTGCACTGCTGAGGGCTAAGGTTTCGAGCCTGCTAATGCTGACTGACAGAATTGGTTTTTAGTTTTTTCGTCTCAAGAAAAACATTCTAGGAAATTGCGTAACCTCCTTTGATCCTCTTGATAACTGGAATTTAAGGTTGCAAACCCACCCATTGAAAAGTTAGTCAAAGCCAACTGCTTACTGTTGAGCAAGCAGCCTGATTTGCTTTCTTGCGCTATGTGCCATGATCTAGTCCTAAATTACATAAATTACCAACTTTCTTCTTCCTCCAGGTCCATTCATCACTGAAGGCAGATAAAGCTAGAAAAGGGCTGAGGTAAGGTTGCGGGTACAGCCACGAGTACTACCTTCTGGATCACAGTTCTGACAAGGAAACAGCTTTCCCTTGCTCTGTTTTAAAAATTGTGTGGACTCCTTCAGCTCTGACCTGTTAGCACAGCTACAACCAAAGCCATCAGAAGCTATTACCCTCTGATTTTTTTCAACAGCGCGTGTGAAATATGCTTCATCTCCATTAGTTTCTCACTTGAGAAATCTTCATCTGCTATCTCAGAGGAAACATTTCCAACTGAAGCTCAGAATTAAACAGGCATGAAGGCTGAGCTCCCGGTTCATGTGCTGGTCCCTTCCGGTGATCCAGAATAAAAACAAAAACCAAATCAAACCAAAACATGACACAACAAAACAAAACACAACACAACAAAACAAAACACAACACAACAAAACAAGAAAAGAGAGGAGACATCAGCTACTCAGCATCCATGAATTTGTCCTGTTTCGTGAGAGTGAAAATTGCATAAGCCCAAACACACAGGCTGCACAAATCCTTCCACGATGCGTTGTTTCAGGGTGCTAAAATAACTACACTTTCATCTCAGTCTCTTAGAAATATTTTTTCAAACTCTTTTTTTTTTTTTTTAGAATGAGGCAAAATGTTGCATTTGGGGCAACAAATGGTAATGTTTTGGGGTACATCAATTCAATTGAAGCCCTTAGGTGGAACCAAGTAAGTGGCTGCCCATTTTTAACACAATATGATGCATGGAAGACCTCCCACCAGGCTCTCCGAGGGCAGGTTAATAGTTAACGGCTTTAAGTCAAGTAGAGTTCCAACCTGCTCTTTTTCATGTATATAAAGCACACTTTTTATCTATTTGCCAGTTCACTAAATATAATCTCTACTTGTGAAACTGCTGGTATGGAAAGTGGATGATACCTGAACCGAGTGCTGCTAAGCATGCCAGTACAGCAGTGCAGCATTTATGTCCTGAAACAAAAAATGTCTAATTCCTCCCGAAAAACCAAAACTTGAAAGATCAAGCATGATTTACAGCGCAGGGGTAGAGAGCCTTCTTCCCCCTCTTTTGTCCATTTTCTCCATGGGACAGCGTGCTGTTCAGGCAAATCACAATCCCTCCTTGCCGGGGGGCTGGAGACCGGCCGATGCTGGCAGGGACAGGTTACAAGTTTATTTGGGGAAAGGGCTAATGAGGAGGCTGAGGCTGCATTTTGGCGATGGATGAAGTCTGTCTGGCTGAAGGGTGGTCACCCCATTTCTGTGCCTCAGTCTTGTCAGCTTTTACTTGGGCATAATAATCTTCTAGTGTCTTTCGGACATGTAGGACTTTGTGCTCATCCTTATGGCCAGAGCTTTACACACCTTCTACAGACCGGCTTTGCAGGTCTACGGATGAAACAATAAGAAGCCCTTGTCTCAGCGAGAGCTGGTAAATTAGAAGGTCAGAACTGGAGGTAAAAACTACCCTTTCTCAATCCAGATATTTAATGATGCCATTGGGTTAAAATTTTCCCCTTCTAAACACAGGTCCTTCGTGAGGATCTGAAGGAAAGCTGAACCTAGAAGTCCCAACAACTTTTGGGGCTCTCCAGGATGGACAGATGGATCTGAATCATTAAGTGTACCGTCAACATGGAACCAGTTTACAAGCCTGAAAACCAATGCTGCTTTACTGACTGCTTTTTTTCCTGCCCATTTCAGAGCACGCTGTACAAGATGGGCTCCCTGGATGAGCAAGGGGAGCAGAAGAGGACAAAGCAGCCGTTACCAGCAGCAGAAACTAACTTTGCGTCCACGAGTATTCCTCAAGATCAAACAAAAACTGCAACAAATCATCCATAAAACGCAGTCAAAAAGGACTTCGTTTAATTAGTGATATGTAAAGACTTTTGCATAGAAAAAAGGTTAACAAAGTAATGCATAAAAGACCGACTAGGTACAGTATTTTTAAAACAAATATTTTAAAGTATATTTTGCATAATGTTTAACATTCTCAATGCTTATTGCTTTCTCCACACAGCAGAGAAATCAAGTGCATAATAATACATGCTGTGTTTTATTTTTATTTTTTATTTTTTTTTACATAAAATCTCTAGTTCTTGCCTGGATGTATTAAAATACTTAGGTTATTTTAAGTCACTGTAATAAAAAATGAAAGCAAACCATTTTATGCAGCACTAGTTGTCTGGGTATTGACAAAATAATTTACTGACATACCCTTTAATACATTCATTTTGGTTTGGAATCAAACCCACATTACAATGTTGGCGTGTTAATAGCCAATTTATAAATCGTCCCTACCGTAACTTCATTCATACCCAGAGTGATCATTCTCCCTGTAGTTGATAGGGAAAAGAAGAGGGATCTTGCACAGAATTGGCTAAAAGTAAAGGTCCAAATAGCTAAATAAGTTAATTTAAACACTGAGTCTCTTGTATTGGCATGAATCAACTGTATCCAAGTGTGCACACTTTAAATAGGTGGTTACTTCTGGGTGCATGACAAATTCACTGTTTGTGCAGATACAAGCTAGCACCATATTTAAGCCATAAAAAAGGGTGCCTCAAGGCTCACAGGCAGTGCTGAAACATTCATTAATCCCAGCACTGCTAAGATAATTGCTTTTACCAATGCTATGCTAGATGTCACAATTTGGCAAGTCTGTACAAAGAAAGTGAGCTAAGGAAGTGAGAACTAGGCCTGTCAAACTGAACATTCTTCCTCCGCAATCTTTTGGC